TGTATCCCTCATGTTTCTTTCAGTGCTGTTGTCGACGGTTAGACATAAGGAAGCGGTTAGCATGCGGCCAAGTCCGCACATGGAGAAATACGGGCCCCTTAATAAATTTATTTTTGAAATAGAATTCAATCCTAATTTTTAGGGAAAATATAATCTTTTGAATTGGGTTCAAAATTTAGGGAACAAGTTCAAAAAATAAAAATACGGGCCTAATTTATTTTTTGAAATACGGGCCTAATTTATTTTCCCTTAAACTTAGGGACCAAGTTCGGAAAAAAAAAAAAAAAATGAAAAATGAAGTGCATTGTCTATGTGTATGAAAAATAATGTGTTAATAAACATTTTTTATATTTTTATTTTTTCATTCTATTTATGGTCAGATCTAAGTATTTTTTGTTTGATTAATTATATGGTGATTCTAAAGTAGTTATCAACGTTTTAGATCACAAAATCTTCCTCAGTTTGTCTTTTGCCTAAGGAATTAAATGTATAGTATGCTCCCATGGGAGTACTAATCCCTTGCTCACAAAAAAAGTTGATCTCCTTGTTTACTGGTACGTTTCTTATAAGAGACGCCAAAACTTTGTTCATTACAGAGCCGTAGTCGTGATGCATCCTAACCGTCCATTATCAACATTAGGGACCCACATAATTCACACCATATGAACTCACATCTCAACCGTCCATCAAGCCCCTTGAATACCTTTACTTGTGCACATGTAAATGAAACAACCCGTGACCGGAGTCATTTCCACGTGGCATGAACATTCTCCCAAATCACTTTCATCTCAACAGTCCATCGCATACATAAACATGCATGCATGCATGGGAAGAGCGATGTATACATGATGACCATTTTATGGAGACAGATACATTGAATCTGGACGATTCCTAACGGTGAAAAAAATTTAGAATATTTCTTTTTCTGCTTTTTTCCTATTTTCTGAAAAAAAGGGTTAAAGTTTTTAAAACTGAAAGTCCTTGGTCCCCAGCACGCGGGCAAGTCGATGAAATCAAGGTTCAACGAATGTGGACGCTTTGAGATTTGCTCTTTCCACGTGTCTCAGATACGGATATTCCGCATTTCGTGGCAAGAGAGGGGTAAACAAAAATTCCGATTCCGTCCTCAACGAAACTTTAATGGCGACTGCGTCCTTTGGAATCCGAGTCTCCACTCAATTAATGATCGTATAGAAAATAAGTCCGTTTAAGAAAGGGTTCCGTTTTTTTAGTTACATAAAATTTTACTAAAGAAATCTGAAAAGATATCGAGATTTTTGGTCTCAATGATGCCATGGTATTAAATAAAGCATAATATATATAACCGACCTCAATTAATTGAAAAATAGTTATGATGGTGATGATAGGCAATAAGTAAAGCCTCGCCTCATAATTCATCAAAAATTGTAATTAAAACATTGGAAAATCATTACATTGATCATCTCATATTGAACGCATTAGTTGTGAAAAAAAATAGGATTTTAAGCTAATAATTGTGTATATTGTAACAAATTATCTAGGCCGTCCATTTTACTATAAAAATAAATGTTCATAGATCTACAATATATGTACCATTTTTTTAGTTTCAAACTTTGTTATTGGTGTTGAAAATTGATTTAGATCCATCATTGTTGAAAATGCTTTCTAGATGAGGATTTGAAGTGAGGCTTTGTTTTGTTTTTCATAAAGTGTAGGTCTTATAGAAACTTCATCCATAAATGGGCATAGAAGTTTGTTGGAATACACCAAAATTTGTAACAATAATAATTTGCCCTTTTCAAGTATTCTTGATGGGCATTATTAAAATTAAATGAAAATACAGGTAAAATGTTAAATAGTTAAACCCTTTATGATAAATTTTTCATGAATTTATTTGGTGCATCTTGACGAGAAGAATAAACTCTTGACATTTCAAGTGATTCGGATTTGTAAAAAAAAATAAAAAAATTCAAATACGAAATGTGATCGTAACTGTCAAATCAACCCAGATTGAATATGTTGTCAGCCTATAAGCTGACATGATCATTTATATATATATATATATATACGATCAAACCTGGTAGTGATGGATCTAGATCTAATGAATTGGACTAGACCCAAAGTCCATTTTTAACTAAGATCAAGTCAAGTCTCATCTTGGTTAGAGTTGACGAGAACCTGGCCAGACCCATATTCACCCGTAACTATGGGATTTTTTTATTTTAGTACATAGTCACAAATCGCTTCTAACCAATAGATGTCAAATCATATGGTTAGGGATAGCCACCATTTTTTTTTTTTTCTTTTTTAGAACTTTTAGTATGGTGAATAATACAATCTAGCAAAAACCCGAATTGGCTAGGTGAACCGATCGATTATTAGGCCAATTTGTATTCGCGATTCTTAATATGGGTTCGTGATTTATCCTGCATATTAGGAGAATATTTTTTATATTTTCAAATAATTAACAATAAGAGTTTCAAAAAGTGATTTGGCTGGGAACCCCGTGATTCAACCAATTTGAATCACCAAAGCCCTTAACATACTCGCTCAATCATTTGATTATTACTTATCGTTTATATAATGAGAATAAGAAATAGTGTACAATGTCGGACTCACTCCTAGTCACCAAGACCCAAGCCTGAGTCCCTGAAGTCCGAATCGGGTGAGCCTGAGTCGAATGAGGTAATTTTTTAATTTAAAAATTTAAATACTACGAGAAAAGAGAGACTATATATTCTTGCTTTTTTGGCCCCCAAGAAAGTCTCTCTCCGATCATATTAAGTCCAGCAAATGTTTAAAGACCAATAAACAAAGAAAGAAGACAAAAGGTAGACGAGTCCTTACGGATTTCCTACAGGCTAAAACACTACTTGAAAAAAAGAGAAATTTATCATTCTACCTCCAATAGAAGCAATTTCACCCATTTATGAGTATTTTGATAGGCATTTTGAAGTTAACTAAAACACATAGATAGAATGTTAAATAATCTATCTTTCACGAGTATTTAGATAAATTTTAATTAAGAAAGACAAGAGAAAGTGCAGTCTAGTGAGACAGTGTGAAAATAGTTGTGATTCGTCACGTGCTATGGAAATTGGCACGCGCTCTAATGCAGGGAACCACACAAGAGAGAAGCGCGTATAAGATCTGAAGTTTCGTTTATTGGAAATCTTTTTGGTTGGTGGAGTGGGCCTTTTACAACTCCTCTTGCCTTTATGATAATAAAATACCACCCGAAACAAACAGTTATTTATTAATCGCTAAAACGATCTTCTAAGGACTACGGCGGCTCTCTCTCTCTCTCCTAATTACTCAACTCTCTCCGTTATTTGCCGATTCGAACCGATCCAGCCACTTCAGCAATCTAATGCATATATGTATGGGTTGGACGCCGCTGCACTAATCTGGATTGGATTTTAAAACCCTAGGTCAAAAATGCTGAAGGTTCCTAGCCTAAACCAGGCCCAGTGCCCGAGCTGACCTGGGTCGGACCATTCAAGGTAAAAAACAGAAAAAAGAGGAGAGAATATTACCAAAATAAAAAAAAGCCTGCTGAGCCCGGCCCAAGTCACGTGATCCATTGCGTGGGTCGGCCCAAGAGGGCCACCAAACGCGTTTCCATCCACGAATTTGAGATGGCCACGGATGCATGACTACCATGACATCTCACATAAATACATCGCCCATGGATGCATGACTACCATGACATATCACATAAATACATCGCCCATGGATGCATGACTACCATGACATCTCACATAAATACATCGCCCATGGATGCATGACTACCATGACATCTCACGTAAATACATCGCCCACGGATGCATGACTACCATGACATCTCACATAAATACATCGCCCATGGATGCATGACCATTGTAACATCCATGACATACATACATCGCCCAATTTCCATTTT